ATGAATGTAAAAGAAATAGATAAATAGTTTAAAAATAAATAAATAATAAAGATAATTGAATATAAATTTAAATATTTTTTAAAAACTTTCCAGAAATAAAAAAAGATTTGAAACTAAAAAAAAGCATAATTTTACTTACTTCATAACTGGATTATTAAACATAAAAGTTAATACACATGAAGGGCTTAGAAAGTGCCTAACAAATAACAATCCTGTAGTGTTGCTTTTTTAATGAGTGCTCTCCATATATCACCTGAATCACTTTGCTATTTTATTAAGTGGAGATGCAAAGGCAACTATAAGGTATGAAGGAGGGTGAAATTTATCTCTAAAAGTTGATATTTTAGTTTTACAACTACAGCAAAAATGCAGCAGTACCAACAGGTTTGCTGTTCTTAGTTATGTGTGTATATATACATGTATATCATACATGCATATATATATATGTATATGTACATCTATGATAGGACTTCAAAAAGCTCATGGAAAATGGAAGTTATTATGAGTTTATTTTGGTGCAAAATTTTTTTGAAATCCATGCATAGTTTTTTCATAAGCACGTCTTAGGGACCTTTTGAAGATGTGTGTGTGTGTGTGTGTGTGTGTATGTGTGTGTGTGTGTTTATGTCCCAGGAAATCAGTGAATATCAGTATATCCCAGTAGGGAGGACATGGTCCATAGAGGATGAAATTCAAAGAATCTAATAAGGAGTCTTGAGGATTATGTCCTGAGACCTAGAGTAATCCTTTTTTAAATCCAGAAGCAGAGACAATAAAACCAGTTGAGATTTTTCAGTCCTATTTCAGCCCTTTATTCTGTCTTTTTAAAATTTTATTTTTTTTTTTTTCAGGAGAAAGGTTCACATCTGTGAGTGGAAAAATCACCAATTTTTCAAAAAGTAGAAATTTTTGGAGTATCTTTGGAAATAGCTACACAGCATCTGGGTAAGTTCCATAGGAGCAGGGCCCCAACACCACAACAGAAATATTTGTTCCCCACATTCACTGCAAAAATATTGTGTCAAATTAGTGACTTTAGTATAAAGGTTGAAAGACAGAAAGTAGATTTGTGTGTGGTTGTAAAAGATGGTGCCAGTTTGTGAGAGTAGATGAGAATGATGGATCAATTAAATGGAATTTGCTGATAGGATGCCTTAAAGGTCAAATTGGGAATGTGGGTTGTCATACTTTATTAGTACAATCCATACTAATGAAAAGCCCAGTTTATATGTATGGAATATTATTCCACTTTGTTATTTTCAGTACATTCTGTGAATATAAAATGGCTAAGTACTGCCTAGCACAGGTCGCACCAGACCTGATCCTGCCTGATTTATAATTAGTACATTTATTTGTTAGTATGCAACAAATACTGTTAATAGTACTTAGGAAAAATTGTGTTATTAAATATGTGCAACATTCTTCCCACGATCTGGCTCCAACTATTCATTGGTACTAACAACTTCTTTTTTTTAGAAAGAACAAAGTTAAACAACAAATCAGCAAAAGTGTGTGAATGTACACAATGACAGTCCAGTTTTGTTAGATTGAAAAAGTGGTATGAAGACATGGCAGGCTTTGAGAAAGTGGCAAGTGTGTAAAATTAATCTCATAGCAGCATGTAAAACATGTATCAAGATGAAAGCAGTAGAGTGGCAATATAGGACATGGTTAAGCAGAGGCCTCTGAAGTCAGAATGACTGAGCCCAGAATTATAACTCCAATACACTTTGTATCATTTTGATCAATGTATTCACCTCTTTAATCCTTGATTTTCTCATCTGTAATTAGGCATATTCATAGTCCTACCTAACTCATAAGATTATGGTGAATATTTGGTGATATAACCCACCTAAAGCACTTAGCAGAGTGACTGCAACATAGTAAGCCCTCAGGAAGCATTAGCTCTTAAAGTATTACTCTAAACTGTTCATTCTGACCTATGGTCAGTTAACTCCATTACAAATGATCTTAAGGACACTAAATATACCTATATTTTGCTTAATTCAATTGACATTCTTATGTGACATTTCTGCAGCACTTAATGTATATGACTTATGGAAACTGGGGAGATTTTTGAAAGATGTAAAAAAAAATAGGTGAATTACTTGGAGGATAAAATTTTGGATAAGATGACATAAGGTAATTTTGGAGTCTCTATGTTTCTGAAGGACTAAAAGGTGGTCAGCCAAGTCATCACACACATATTGGATTATCACCTGCTCAGAGGTAGATACTAGTTTAGATCTTCTCTGAAAGTTTTTTTTTTCCTTTAAATACTGGTATTTTGCCAAATTAATGGATGATAGCGGCTACTATTAGTTAAAATACAGGCCTAGGCATTTTACACGTGTTCCTGCAATTCTTAAAATAGCCTTATAATGTACACATTCTCCACATTTTAAAGTTGATGAAATAGGTTTTAAAACACACACACACACACACACACACACACACACACACGAACAAAGAACTTGGACAAGCAGATGGTGTAGTGGTTACGTTACACTGGGACAAGCAGATGGTGTAGTGGTTACGTTACTGAACTCCCATGCGGTTAACCATGGTTCGTAGTCCAGAACCCGATGTCTAGGATATCATGCTGGGTGCATGTACATGCATGCCCAAGATCCTGGAAAGAGAATGGAGAACGGATTGTGGTGTGGCCATCCTCCCTACAGGGTAATTTCTCACTGTTCCTCTCACTGCTTCTGTCTTTCTCTCTCTTCAGTGAATGCACGCACCCTAGGGCAGAAACCTCATTAAAAAAAAAAAAAAGGAAAAAAAAAGAAA